CGTTTCAAGAATGGCGCCATTATCTAGAAGGTACTCCTAGTCCAGTCAATGTGTATATGGATCACAAGAACCTTGAATATTATATGTCAGCTTGTGTTTTGAATCATCGCTAAGTCCGTTGGAATATGTCTTTGTCAAGATTCAAATTCAAGATTACTTATCGATTAGAAAAACAACAAGGTTTGTCAGATGCACTCTCCAAATGATCTTACTTTGCACCAAAGAAAGGAGATGTTGCTTTTGAACAACAATGGATAATTCTCTTGAAGCCAGAGCATCTTCATCTTCGAGCTATAAAATCAATACTAACTGTTGATTCAACTTTCATTAAGCAAGTTCAATCAAGTATGTCTTCTGATTCTCTTATTTGTGATATTAAGGAAAATCCTTCAAAGTCTTATGATACTTCCAAGTTTGAATTTAAGAACAATCTACTATGTTTCGAGGAATGCTTATATATTCCAAAAGGTGAAGCTTGATTATAAGTTCTTCAAGCTTGTCATGACTTTCTAACAACAAGACATTTTGGATACAATAAAACTTTAAAACTAATATCCAAAGACTTTTGGTGGCTCCAAATGTAGAAGGCAGTTAAAGATTTTGTACAATCTTGTGATATTTGCTCTAGATCAAAAATTCCTTGTCATCGACCTTACGGACTTCTTTAGCCATTATTCATTCTAGAACAACCATGGTCTTTTGTTTCTATGGATTTCATCACGGATGTTCTAATCTCAGGTTCTTATGACTCTATATTCGTGATAGTAGATCATTTTATTAAGATGGCACATTTTGTACCATGTATAAAATCTATCACAAGTGAAGAAAAACCTAAGCTCTTTCTTGACAACATCCATCACTATCATGGATTACCCAAGGATATTATATCAAATAGGGGAATCCAGTTTGTATCAAGATTTTGGCGGACTCTTTTCAAGATTTTAAAAGTGGATATAAAACTATCTTTGGCATTCCATCCTCAAACTGATGGACAAACGGAGCATATTAATCAAGTTTTGGAGCAGTATTTAAGATGTACCATCAACTACCAACAAGATGATTGGACAACTCTTTTGTCATTAGTAGAGTTTGCTTATAATAACATGGTACATTCTTCTACAAAACAAACACCTTTCTTTGCCAATTATGGTTATTATCCTTGACTTTGTACTTTTGACTTTTCAAAAGTTGATAATCCTTCGGCAAAAAATTTGGCAAATCATTTGTCAGAGCTACATGCAACAATAAAAGTGCAGTTAAAAGAAGCTCAAGAACAACAAAAAATCAATGTAGATGTCTATCAAAAGGAACAACCACCATTCCACATGGGTGACAAAGCATGGTTACTTCATAGTAATATCAAGACCACTTGTTCTTGTGATAAGTTGGATTATCAAAGGCTTGGACCATTTTCTATTTCTGCACAAATCAATTGAGTTGTATATCTTTTATACCTACCAAAGTCAATGAAAATCCGTCCAGTATTTCATGCATCTCTTTTTGAACCATATAAGACAATGGACATACCAAGAAGAAGATAAGCTCCACCTCCTCTTATAGAAGTGGATAATAATGAAGAGTTCGAAGTGGAAGAAGTCTTAGATTTAAGGCAGTGCCAAAATAAATTAGAATATCTTATCAATTTGTGCGGATATGATATTAATGAATGCACATGAGAGCTAGTAAAGAATCTTGCAAATGTAGCAAAGGCCATGGAGGCTTTTCATCGATGACATCCATCAAAATCAAGATGAAAACCTTTCCTATAAAAGAAACAAGATCTAGGCAAGATAACATTCTACTTTCAATCCATATTTGTAGCTTCTTTGTAGTTGTGACGTTGGAAAGATGGAGAACTAACAACTAGTAGATTCAACTCAAGAGCCTTCGTTTGCTGACTTGTCGAATGAAACATTATGATTGTTGTAACCTTCAAGACGACGTAATTGACATTAAGATCTTCAAGAATGACATGTTCTTCCTCGAATAGATGGCAAGATACAATGCGTTTGGTATCGCGACCTTAGAAGGGACTCTCAATGTTTGGTGATTTTACTGGAGGTAGAAATAACTCTTGACGATGTTCCAAATGTTTTATTCAAAGGAAGTTATGATGGCCTCAACAACAATCAAATAATTAGGTAGTCTTCCCGCCTTGGTATGGGACACTATCAATGGTTGAGAAGCCCTATCAATCATCTTCAAAGAGAATAAAGACGAGAATATGTGGCAAATACAATTTGCCGCATCTTAGACTTCCTCGACATGTGATCATCGCTCCTTGTGGAACTCGTCTCTGGAAGGGGGAGTAATGTCATAGGCATATATTTATTGTAATTGTTACCTATGTAACATGAATAGATAGAAGTAAGTAAAAATAGATTAATTTCATAATATCTTCTAGAGAAGCTTCCTAGAAGTTTTATAGACACTACTTTGACTTTACATATGTTTATACTTCATTGGTAGGTTAGAAACTTGGTCAACAAGTTAACCATGTGCTACACATGTTCATAGCTTGCAGAACAAGTTAATTATATGGCACCTACATAGAAAACTTACCTTGCAAGTTAAGATACATGTTGTACTAAGTCAACACGTTTTTGGAGGTCTTGTAGAACATCGCCACGTAGCTCCTAACTAAATAATATATATAGAGGCAAGAGTGAAGCCTTCTTCATTCTTGTCAACTCCTTTCTTGCTTCTAGTCTAGTTTCAAGGATCTCTAGTTTTCTTGTCTTTTGGTAATAGTCATTCCAGTTTCTTTCTTAATATACATATTTAGTTATTTCTATTTTGTCATCTTTCTTTGAGAAAAGTCTCACTTGTTTATTTATTTTTATCAAGTTCTTATCCTTGACACATGTAGCTTTTATGAATAATTTGTTAAATCTTTTGTCACATAATTATCAACTTTTAAGAAGTTAAAAGTATTAAGTTATGAATGATAATAATAATTTACATAAAAAGGTGATTGTTGAATAGAAAAATTAAATTTTTATTATTATTCAAATTTTAAAGTAATAATATATTTTTTATTTGAAATATAATAATACTTTATTGAAGATAATATTTTCAAAATACCTTCTTATAATGCATAAGGTATTTTTTTTTCTTTGTATACATTCAAATAAGATTTATTTTTTAAAAAAAAAATCTAGAATTTATATTAATTTAAATGTAATAATTGTATATCTATATATATAACAATCAAATTTAGAAAATGAATTAATTTCTTCAATTAATGTGTAATAATTAATGCTATTATTTTATTAAGAATTTTTTATATTTATTTTTATATATAGATTTTGGAAATGCTCAACAATTCAAAAAACACAAAATTCATGCACTACTTTCTTAAACAAGATAGGATCCAAAAAAGATTCAAAAATCCCATAACAAACTTTGGGTCTTAAAAATACTACTTTTGGTGCTTTATATATCAGAAATGCTAATCCAATTAGAATAAAGAAAAATAAATAAATAATAGTGGCTCCTCACTACTAGGACCTCTCATAGAACATTCTAGATTATAATTGAAGATGCAAATTGATTCCGAGACCAAGTCATAAGCACATAACTATCCATACCTAAAGTCTTCAATACAATGTTTTGTTTATGATCTCAAAATGACATCATCAAACATCATAAAACATCCTCTCGAGCACAAGTCCAACCCCCTACTAGATATATTAGATCAGTACTAATGTAGAAATCCACCTTGTTTCTGATCCTCAACGAACACTCTTCAAAGTATTTCCGTGCAAGGTGGTACCTCCCTTTCATCAATATCCCCATTTTGATTTTAAAAGACGCAACAAATCAGTCAATCCATCAATCATGTCAGAGTTTTGGAGCTCCGAATTCCAGTTCTCGAGCTGCACCCAGATTCTGCATTGCACAGGTTCTCCCCGGAACGAAAGAGTCTGAGCAGAGGAGATTCTGGGTCCTAGATAGGATAATGATTCAGAATCGTGAAAGCATGAAATCTAGTAATATATGTAGTGAAACTTGATCTGCAGCCGAGACTATTGTCGAACCCCAATGATCAATTCCACACTCATGGCATAATCTCCATGTAGGAGCACGGACAGATTGTTCCATGTCGGAGCTGCTCATGGAGGAGATAGGAATAGGTTGCAAGCTTTTTCGCGTCTTTTAGAGGGAGCCTGCGCAGTGTCGTGAGCATTTAGTTTCCCAACATGTATGGTTTTTTGAGGTGCGATGTTCGACTGTCTGAATTCCTCCGGCATGACCACCTTGGCCAACAGCTTCCAAGGACGCTGGGAAGAGCTAGTTCACTGTGAAGTGGGTTCTGCATACGCATTCGTAGTTCAATAGTGTTAATCAACTGAAACAGGTGAGGTAGATGCGGGCAATTGATCTGCTGCACACAAGTCTTGGTATGTTTCATTTTAGGGTTTCATTGTCGTACAGTAAGAAAATCTGCTCGGGTTGTTTTTGGCACTATTAGGCGAACGCCCGAGGTATCTAACGAGGGGAACAGTTTCCTGCCTCCAAGATCTTGGGTACTGCAGGTGGACAAATTCCACCTGATAAATGGAATAGACCCCGTGGACAGCGAAAAAAAAGAAGATAAGGTGGAACAGTAAAGAAAGATAAACTCAATGCTAATGGCACGTGTGAAACGGTAAGCGAATACTGGGTGGTTAAAAGCAAGTTCGGTCAGCACGTTTTTCGAAAAACGTGTTTCCATTTAAATTTAACAATTCCTCGAAACATGAGAAACAGAACATATTACTGGTGGTTGGAAGGAAAAAGTCAATCACGTTGCCTTTTCCGTTCTTGAGAAATTCCATGTTTGAAGATAAAATGTTACTGACACGCGGCAGACAAGCTCAATGGAGAAATAAAATATAATAGTGTTCAGGGTATAAGCAGTCCCAATTAATCCAAATTTTAACGCAATAAACCAACCAGTACAGTCCACGTATTTGAATGGGTGTCAAAAATTGCAAAATTAGAAAGCTCTGTATAAATGCATGAAAGAAACTTTCGATGTACAAGCAAGTCAAAATTTTACTTAATACAAACAGGAAACAAGTACTTTGCCGAGTCGGTCTACTTGTTACCGAGCTTTTAGAAAGCACTCCGGCAACTAAGGTAGAAAAATGTACACAAAACTTACTCTTGAATACAAAAACCCAAAGCCTGAAATTAACTTCTAGTTTCAGTTTTATCGTCTCTTTTTTGTTTTTTTTGTTTTTGTTTTTGTTTTTTGTATTTTTGTAATTTTTTCCCTTCAGTTCACTCAAAATTGCTTCGAACCGTGGATGGAATGCAAGTGAGCTGTGCACAGCTGAGTGCAGAGTAACAATTACCGGATTCAGGTAACAGAGCGAAACACGACTGCATGCATCAAAATTACTGCAAGTATACTTTAGAACGGCCTTGGGCACCGGGGTGTTAGCAAATGTATAAGTCGCAACTTTCGTTACTTTTCGGATGAGTGCAGTGTGGCCCCTGGACATATTAGTGCAGGCTGAGTCTGAAGATGTTGCGAGTTTTCGAGATTGTTCCCGCGTGTCCAACGCGGTAACAATTGGTCGTCGATCTCGAAATTGTGCACCTAACGGTACTCCGACTTCGTATTGGCGCTGTAAAGCCTGCATCAGGGAATCCCGAGTAGCCGAGCCATTATTATTCGTTCTCTTAGGCTATATCCACCTTTGAATACAAGGAAGAAAGATAATTTTGTGAATGAATCTCTCATGTGAACGAGAACGAGTCAAGAAACCCTTTGATCGCTCGCTTTCTTCTCATTTATCAAGGGAGATGATCACTACCCTGCAAAGCATGGCAAAGCATAAAAGCCCCGCCTGAACCTCTTCGGCGAATGCCGCTAATTTTGCACTAATCCTTAGCAGATATTAGTACAAGCTGGTGGTGGCAGGGCATGATGTGAGGACACGATGTGCCTCTGTGCATACAGGGGCCTGACTTCGCTGGTTCATATAACTATAATCTGTCCAACGCAAAATGTCGGACTGACACGGTGAAGCTCAACTTACCAATCATAAACTGTGGGCGAATTTGGCTGCGCCTTGTCGAACTTGTCAGATCCCACCTTGCGCATCACCGTGTTCTGTCCTGGGTGGAAGACGCTACGCCAGATATTATCCTTTTCCTTGTGATCTGTACAACGAGCATGATAACAGTGGTTAGCGCAATCTGTAGCCGCTGAGCAGCATCCTCCGAAGGAATCGAATCGTTGTGTCAACATGAGCACAATTTGAGACTTAAGAGGTCGAATAACGGATTCCCTTAGCAAGTAAGAAAGATGCTCTCATTCACACTTACAAGATGAAGGAGAAGCCATGGACGGTGAAGCAGGCGGGGTTGATCCCAGACTACTGGGGGTGCCTGCCACGGAGTCGGTGTCCAACATAGTCATTTTCTGAGGCTTCTTAATGGATATGTTCTGCGACGGGCTATCATATGCTCCTGCACTGAAGCGTCGCTCCAAGACCCTTGGATCATGCATCGCTACATTGCACAGCACACACGTCTTAGTTGCACGGCTTTAAGCTCTAAAAAAGAAAGAGAGACGAACCAAAAGCACCTAAGAATTTAAGAAAACGGAGGACATTTACGCTGTAGCAGGCGTCAGAAAACTCCTGAGGCATTGAAATGGAAGCAAACTAAAATAAAAACAAAGCGTCCCACTCAAGAATGTGCAAAAACGTGGAAGACTTACACATCCAGTCATATGTAACATACTTGCACAACCTCATAATCTAGTTTGCAATTACAAGCATGTGTTACACTAGCAATGCAAAGATCGGAAAGCATGCCGGAAGCCTCACCGTCGCGTCCATTCTCTGAGTTGTTTTTCCGCAGTTGCTTCAAGCCTTTGTCAGGAGCTGAACCACCTACGACGTCGTCCCAGAGCTTCTCCAACATTCCGGCCATATCTACGCTGATTGTTTCTATACATGCAACAATTGCCACTGATATAAATTCGCTTTCACCAAAAATCAAATCAAATCAAATCAAATCAAAACCGAGAGCTCAATGCGAACACCACTTCATGCACTCAGCTACAAACTTCAAGGTAAACATCAGATCCGCACTAAACGAACACAAATCCTCGTCCTCCTTATCCTCCTCGTAAAACTGACTTCCATGCAGCAAAGAACTTGTTATCTCTCACCACTCCAAGACTCCTTACGCCAGCAACAACTTCCGACTCTGGACTTCAAATATGACGCAACGAAGGAAGCGACTGAGATACAAACTAGAAACGTCTGCTTAACACAACTAGAAGAAAGAGAACCAGAGCTTCATAATCTTTACCGATGTGAACTAGTGTGCTGAGAGAACAAACTAGAAACGTCTGCTTAACACAACTAGAAGAAAGAGAACCAGAGCTTCATAATCTTTACCGATGTGAACTAGTGTGCTGAGAGAAGATGCTACAATTGATGGGAGGAGCTCAAGACAGTGGTATTTTCTCTGAGCACAAACTCACATCAGCTACTTATGATTTTTTATGGCTCATGCCACGCAGTCTCAGCACATGTTCATCCATCCACAGTGACTACTGTAAACACAAAGGACTCTTCGTTGGGCTATGCCGGCTTGGCATCCACCACTGCAACTGCAATTCAATGAACTCTCGTGAGTGTTCCTATCCGCCTCTTCGTGTCTATTTCCTCCGCTGTGTCAGGTTCAAAGGTTTGACTGTACGTTAAACTTCTACCAATTCTTCAAAATTTTATTCCGGCAAGGCAAAGCCGAAGTGCAAGTAGATATCGCGCCTCAAAAAAATCATGCACGCCCCGCAAGGGTAGGGAGACTTGTGCAAGAATGCTTACCGCAGCAGCGCTGTGGTAATGTCACGACGCCCGACTAGTTGATGTGGAATTCTCAAACCATCAATTCTCTCAGACCGAGTCGCCTCACTTTATATCGCATGCTACAACAACCCCCTAACTTCAGTGATGAGCTTTTTAATCCCCCGAGCTATCGAATTTTGTAAACTAACGATGTGCAGTTTTTGCAAATTCTCACATGTTTTGAACAACACCAAGAACTAAACTATTCTCACTCTTGGTTGTTTTGGTTTTTCACTTCCTCGTTTTATTCTGCTTAAATTTTATATTGTCGAGGAATAGGATTTCACGTGCATGCAGCGATTACACCAAAGATGAAAAGCATTTGAATATTGGATTTTTCTCAGGGATGGATGTGTTTCGTAAGCTGGTCAGCATTATCTACACAGGTATTGTTGATGTGGAAATGTTTAATTATGACCTATGAGCCCGTTTTAGAATTTACTAATTAAATCCTCTACAGATTTAAACCGAATTTTCGGTCTGTTACCAAACAGGTGTTTGTTTTGTATTACCATAATTAAATGAAAATGGTAGGCATTCTTATTCTAAAAGCTGCTTTTTTCCGAAAAATAAATAATAATTTTTTTGGTATTACTTTAGTATTACTATAGTAATTTATCAAATACGTTAGTGTTATAAGTTTATAATCTGTAAATTAATCAAGTAGCGTTAAATATATGCATAAAATAGTAAAGGTAAATTAATAACACTAACTAACAAGCATGGTTCTGTACACAACCAATCTTTTTAAATTTGAGGTGTCTTTTTATGACTGTTTTTATTTCAGAATATCAAATTTTCAGAATAATACTGTACATATATTTTTTTACTTTTATGACGATCAACAAGTTTTCAATTAGACGAAAAAAATTAAAACGAACTCGCTATTGCAATTGACAATCACTTCCTATAGATGGGTAAGAAATACGTGAATTAGTACGGTATACATAAAAGACATATTGAACATGCAACCAGTACTCGACGACGCATGTGAAAACGGAGATGGGGCATTTGACCTAAAGCCACGCCACACGGGATTAGGAACGTCCAGGAAGACGAATACGACACAGGAGTAGTGCGGAATTGACATCGGGATCGGATATTTTACCACGAATCCGAAATGGAGGGCATAGTTGGCACTTCGCCACGTATGATTGGCTGAAGGGGGCCAGTCTACGTGGGGTCCATGCTGTCAGGTTATCCTCAAGGTTTCCGGGGTCCTCGTCAGCATCGTCACCCTCAGAAGATATTTGTCCCAGATCTACGGCGAGAAAGAGTATTCCATAAGGACAACTATATTTCCTTGTTGCGACTGGTCACCCTGTCGGTGGAGCATTGGACTAGAAAATGGGAATTTTAACGCCGTTTGTTGGTTGGCGAGGAAAATTGGCGACGAAGAGCAGGCGTGTTAAGATTTTGGAGGAAACCCATTTCAGTCTCTTCTGCGAGGGCGGAAACCCTACAAATTCCGCCCCGAATGCTGCCCCGGATGAGGGTTTTTTTTGCGACTGTGCTTCCGTCGATGCAGAGCCTTTTTTCGTGCTTCGGTCGTCTTCTTCATCTTCTTCTGCTTCTTCTCTTGGGTTGTCGCAGGAGAATTGTTAGGTGGCTCCTACGAATCTCTTGTCAACGCCATCTGCAAGTCCTCTGGTCAGTGAGGATGCTCCGATCATCCATCGCCCATTCTTCATTGCAGATTTGTGGGTAGCTTTGTTGTCCTTGATAATCTATTCTCACCATTTCGCAATTGAGTGATGACAATTGTGAAGTGGTCGTGTAAGCTGGGGATTCACAGAAAAAGAAAAGAAAAAAAGAGTGTTCTTGTTAGAATGGTGTGATTTTACTTTCAAGATTGCAGTTTGGCTAGTGATAAGTTTTTGTTTAATCTGATTTTTCTACTAAGTGAACATTAACCTGAATTATATATTTTAAATTGAACTAGTTTGCCCAATTCGCATATGGTGGCAGGATTAGAATTACCAACCTTCATTTGGTAGTGGTGTGATTGAGAGTTTAGCTTGCATAGCAAAGACATGTATTATTATCAACTCTTCTTAAAGAATTTTGTGATTAGGAGAGATTGTGACAAAAAACAATTTTAAAGTTTGTGATAAAGGTTAATGTTGAGATAATTCCTCTAGTTGGTTTATATTTAGATTAATCAATAAAAAGAAAAGGTAAAAGAGGAAAATAGGGAGTAGAATGCATTTTCTTTTGTAAATGACATGAATAGCATTGTCACCCAAATTTATGTTAGATTCTCTTTAAAAAATGGTTTTTTTTTAAAGAATTGACAAATTAAGTAAAAAGTTGTTAAAAATGCCCCTGAAAGTTTTTTAAAGATTCACTATAAAATTTATCAAAATTTATGATATTGAAATAAAAGGTTTAGTATTTTATATAGAAATGGGATAAAAATTGCTTCATTTTGTACAATCTTCTTACTGTCTGTGATATAAAAAAGACTCACAATTCTAAAGAATAACTTTTCTTTACTATGCAAGGAATGTACATAACACTTTTGGACCACATTCTTTTATAGCGTGCTTTTAGATATTAAGATTCCTTCAGTTTTTACCTTTGTAATGGCTAATTAATGTTAATTTTGTAATAGTATTTTTATTTAGTGTATTATTTTTAGTAGAATATTAAATATAATACTAATATTATTTTAAATTATATTATTATTATTTATAATATATAAAATAATAAATTAAAAAATACTTATAATATTTTATCTAAATTTATAGTACAAGAATAAATCTTAATTCTAAATGCTATGGGATTAAAAGTAAATAAATAAAATAAAATAATCACACTTGAAATAACACAAAGTAATAAAAATAAGATTGGATACAAAATTAGAAATACAACAGTATATAAATTGCTTCAAAAATTAGATAGATTGCAGTGCTACTAGTTACATGTTTTGTATTTTATTTATTAGTAATAATACTGTAATAGATTTATTAAATTTATTATAATTAATTACATAAATTGATTTAATTTGTCTATATATAAAACTATTACATAATTATTATTATTATTATATTAGTTGTCTAAAATTGTGAAGATATTATATTTTATAAATTGTTTATAAATTATTAAAAATATTTTGAAAATATTTCAATTCCTTCATTTATTTGATAACAAAGAATATATTTAAGAATAAAAAAGAATAACAAAGAATATATTTAATACTATGACTATAAATTTTAAAAAATGCTAGATAGACACCTCCATTTTAATGCATGGACTCCCCTTTGTGCATCACACTCCAATATATACACCTTTGTAAAAAATAATTATTTTTGATTTTAAATAATTAAAAAAAATTACTCAACATTGATAAATACCAATGGTAATAAAAAATTATATTTTATGTTTTATTATTAAATACCAATGGTAATACCAATGGTAATAAAAAAATACAAAGCCTTACAAGGTCAAAAAAATTGAAGGTTGAGACAATATGCAATAATAGAATGCATATAAATAATAGCATATCAAATTTTAGTATTAAAGTAATAACTATAATAAGATTTATGAGTTAAAAATTGTATTTTAAGAATCATGATTTAAAATTAAAAATAATTAATTTTTATGGAGTATATGTGCAGAGGTGCACAGTATGAAAAGGAAGAGGACGGGCAAGTGGGAGAGGTGTCCATGCAATAAAAGAGAATAGTCCACTTGGGAGCTTCCTAAATTTATTAATGTTAAAATATAGAAGAATATATTTAAATTGTTCAAAATATTATTAAGAAACAACCTACATCATCAAATATAAATTCTTAAACACATTAGTAAATCAAAAAAATAAAAATAAAAATAAGATTCAAGTACATTAAAATATTTTGAATATGTATTTTTTATATTGCCATGTAGACAATTTGGATAAAAAAATAAAAAAATAAAAAAATAATTTTAGCCAAAACCACTAGTATATTACAACCTAAAATATACTTAAAGGACTTTGGCAATATAAAAGACATAAACATTACAACCTAAAATGTACAAAATTCCATGCAATCTTTTATATTAATAAAATTATAGTTTTTTGTTAAAGTATTCTTTCACCAATTTGGTTTGGTTTGGTTTTTTTTTTTTTTTTTTTTTTTCATTTTTATCTTTATTTTTAATTTTTTATTTATTTATTTTTATCTTGTTTTCTATATGTTTTTCTAAATTTTTTTCTACAAAGATAAACATATTTTAAGTGTGAAGCCATAGAAACTTCTATTGTGATTTTTAGATTTAATTTTATTAAAATATAATAATATAATAATAAATCTCATATATATATATATATATATATATATATATATATATATTTATCCAAGCAACAATGTTAAGTATGAACTTCATTTCTAAGAAAAAACCCAAAACTACTAGTAAAGTTCTACAAATCTATCTTTAAACAATATGTTTTGCAATTACAATAATATATCTTTTTTCTAAGTTGACACGTACTAAATTTGTAAAGAATTTGGTATGTTATATTGATATTTTTTTATTTTATTTTTAAAGCATTAATGAATTTCTCAAAGAAAATTTTCTAAAAACCAGAAGTTGTCTTTAACAATGCCATTGTCTTAGGAATAAAAATAAATATACACTTATTGAGAAAAGAAAAGTCTAAAAATAAGATTATAAAATTGTATCCAACTTTGTTAGTACAAGATTAACATTATAAAATTGATTTAGATTTTTGAATTACTACAAATAATTTATTTAAGTCAATCATTCTAATTATCACTTTCCAGCTAAATTTAATTTTATAAGTCCATGAACAATTTATTTTTAAGATATGCTTTGCTTGCATTTTTTGAAATAACTCTTTTGACATTGTTCATTTTTGTGTTACAAAAAAATCATAAGTGAACTAAGTTTCCATAATCTGAAAATCTGTTGTTAAGCCCAGTAGGCTAAACCAAGTCCGTCTTCTACATGTGGGTGAACAGTCCCTTGGTAAGCTTGAAAGAGAATAAAAAACGCATGTTGTATACTTAGCTACAAGGGGCACGCTGATATTGAAAATATAAAAAGATCATGAAAACCAACTCAAAAGCACAGAAAGAAGAAGATGAAAGACGAGGAAAGATGCAAGATATTTTGCAACCAATGATGCTTGTGCCGTTCTAACGGAGAGCAAGAACGATAGACGAAGTGCTATCGCAAGTTGATCCTTAGCTTGTGCGACAAGGGCTTTCGTGAGGGGATTTCACAATAGGTAGTAATAGTGTAGCTAGCTCATGAATATGTGCAACAACAGTAATTGCAGACGAAAGGCTGAGCCCATGTTGAGGTTAAAAAAAAAAAAAAAAAAAAGAAAAAAAAAAGAGGAAATATCCTACGCAACCCTTACCCACCAATGCTAGCCCATATCACTAACATCGTCCCCTGAGCTAGCCCAGGGGCTTGCTAAGGCCCAAGATTCCAACAAAGGTGAGAGGGGGCTAAGTGAGGGAACACATTTTGAACATGCAAAAATGAAGTGGAATTGCTTCTAATGACGGGGTGTAACTTGATAATAATACCCAATTGCTCAAGGAAATGATAATCACTCAAAACTGCTGTACCAATCAGATTGAGCGAGTAGCTCTTTCTCTGAATATGAATCTGTTCCTCCGAATATTCAAAAATTGAGAGCAGCTAAAGTCAGAGAGGACAGATGCGGACCTGACGAAATTCTATCTATTTCAATCCGAAGTTCATTTCCACAAATCTGTTCACTGAATGTGAACACTATTAAATAAGCTCATATCCCATACCCTCAGTTTCGAGACCTACAGAAGGCGACCCACCAGGACGAGCACTAACAAAATGAAGGTACAGTGAGCATTTTAATGATAAGATCTCGATTTGCACGAAACGTTTCTGTATTTTCTGCTACTACTGCCAGTTTCATAATGTTTATCACTTGCTTGTTGCTTACGTCTGAGAGAATCCTGAATTTCCTGCAATATGTCATGGATATTCACCAGAGAATAAATATATGATACCTTTTGCAGAGATAAAACTTTCTTATCACAGAAGAAAAAATGTTGCCACAGACACCAATGTGGTAAGTGGACTACAAGAATAGGCCATGTGAAAGGTCATTTTGCAGCAATGATCCGTACACGCAAACAAGAGTCTACATCCAGGTTCTGAAGCACACCTTACGTTTCTCGTCCTTGAGAACCTTGAAAATTACGTCCTCCTGTTTCGGTGACTTGAACTGAACAGTCCTTCTGGACCTTGACGACTTTTTTTTCTTCAGACGAAATACTTTTGATGATCTCACTGTTCCTGAAAAATATGGGGATCGAAGAAATCTACCCTTGGATCCAGCCATATTGCAGTCGGGTAAGCCTGCATGAGTTCCAGAGGCTCCTTTGGAATGTGAACCTTCTCCTTTACCCTTCTTCTCAAAATCCATAGCCAAGCTAGCGGTTAGGATTTTTGTCATACAGAGCTGATTGGAAGATGGAGGGCAACTCAAAACACCAATTGCCTTTTCTGGATTTTCATTCAAAGGTGCTGCATCAGACCCTTGCCGATCTCCTGCCTTCCTGCAGTAGAGAATGGTAGCATACACTAAATATCTAAAAAATCCAATAATTGTTCTTAATTTACAGTGTCATGCTATTTGTGGGTCTCACCATAGACCACATGTGATTTCCAGTATGTCCAGCTAACCGACACATTCGACTTGTGGCTAGAGGTAGTAAGGACCTGTGTAGTAATCTGACCTGTGAGAGGATTCTGAAATGTGAACCATCTCTGGCACCTTCTTCCTTGCCGCGTCGCGTAGGGCCTCCGTAAGTTTCTTCAGCCTCGAGCAGAGCACAGATTCCGAGGGCAAATCTTCGCTCTTCTTTCCAATTGAGTCCTGCACCTATATGTCTATTAGCCATACATACAAATGCGTAAATCCTCGGATTCTATACGTAATAGCCTTGTCTAGACTCCTAGTGAATGATCCTAAAATGCAGTAAGGATGGTGAGTTATGTTCGATCTGGAATATGCTGGTTGCCAAACTAAGACTTGGTCTTTGACAATTAGGATTATTTTGATGTAAATGGATCACATTTTCAGATATCATAGAAAATCATGCATCCATAGATATGAAAATACAGACTTCTTAAGACTTACCTTCGGACGGGATTTTGCGTTGGAATTCTTGGTGTTGACAAGAGTGTTCACCCTTGAAACGAAGGAGAGACTAGTGTCTGACCTATGGAAAAGCAAGGGTTAAACCTTTTTAGCTATAAACACAAACTAAACCAGCAACAATACGCAATTTAATCATGAATGCAAGTCCGCCCAGTCATCAATCACCGTTACAAATAAGAGGAACTTTAGAGATAAGCCACAGAGTCAACCGTGTGATTGAGCTTTTTTTTGCAGTGAAATGATGCATGATATGCATCCGCATATCATTAGACCAAATACTATCAACTTACTTCATCCTTTTAAAGAATTTATGACCATACAGGTGTGCCGCCTTTAGAAGGTCAGCATCTTCCTTTTTCCCCCACCAATCTGGAAGCTTCTTTGATCTGCAGACCCCAGTTTGTACATCCATAAATACGATTAGTACTAACTCTACAGGGACTCAAATGACTTATTAATTCCACCTCAAATTTATACATGTTTCTCGGTTACGAAAGCGGCTGAAAAACCACCTGTCAGTGACTTTTCTACCATTGTTACACAACTATTTCTTAACAGACAAACCTCATACGACTTAGTTGTAGGAATGCTCAGGGGTGAGACACAAATCAAGAGAGGCCGATATTTACACCAAGGTTATAACAAAGAGGATCGTTTCCTATAACCTGAAAGCAACGTGAGGGGGAAAAGCTCCAAGTTGAGACTGAAGAGCCTCAGCCAATAATTGGCTATCCTCCAAGGACTGCAAATACCTGTAAGTATAGCATGTTCCTCCCATGTCAGGTGAGCAGATGTTGATAATACTGCGAACGTCTGACCGCCCTTAAGTTGCGAACAGAGAAGTGCTGAAGCAAAGAAAGCTGTCATAAACCGCGTTCAACAAATCAGAGCCGAAGAATGTTGTAACTTAACACTCTTAGAGTCACTAATATTCATCCATATCATGAATGACAGCACTAATCTTCCATCTGAGATTTCATTGTAGTAGCTTGCACATCTACAATCAGAGGACAATTATCGATGAACCTCGGAACCTCAAGCAAACATACAGACGTTTGACCAAATTACCCCAACGTCCATCAGAGGTTCGACATAATTAATTGCGACAGAGTATCGCTGTTTACCCGGAGGACAAGCACAGATTTATAGTCGAACTATGTAGCCGGGATGAAACTCTGCACAATGTTCTCCTAGGAAAAAATGTATCCCATTCATCAACTACAGTGACTCACGAACCTTGGAAATACCAAGATTGCGCAATAAATTTCTAGTGAGATTTGAGTACCTTTGGGCCTCTTTTTGAAGTCGTTGCTGAAACTCTAATGATTGCATCGCTAGTAAAGCAACAGCTGGTACTACTGGGGGCTCGTGATGAGTGTCCTCCAAAGATTCTCCTCCTGCGTCAAGCTGAGACTTTCCTCGTGAAGGTTGGATCTCTCCGTTGATCATCAATTTAGTTGCATTAGACAATACCCGAGTACCACAGTTTCGCTTGCTTCTGGTCTCAACTTTAGTGATTAATTTCGATTTTGTAATTCCCTGTTCTTGGATAGCTGAAAGTGATGGCCCAATAATTGGATATCTTCGATCACTTGCTTTCCCCGTCACTTCACCCGTTGTTGGAGAATCTGGTTGAAAGACTCCAAAGCCATTACACACTTGCATGTACTGACAAAGATGGATCAGTGCTTCAGAAACCTCTTCAACTTCTTCAGAACCACGGTGGCTTAGTCGAGCTTCTCCCATGATTTGATCTGCAGGCAGATACCAGGTTCTGACATCACGACGCAGCTTGACACGGACAGTTGCAGTGACAAAGAGGAAAGAAGTTGAAAACACTGTTCAGCTGTGAGGTTAAGCTCTCCATAAATCAATGGTGAAAAAAATAATGAATATCGACCATAATACGACAGTCAAGTCATGAGTATCTTCCTGAAACCAATTCGACTGTGAAATTATGTATACTTACCAGTGCGGCCCCTTCCCAGCGCAAACAGTTGATCTTCTAATCGTTTAAGCTCTCGATCAGACCATTGTTTTACAGATGGATCGAGCCCTTGTGGTTCCTGGCCAACCCTGGCTCTTGTACACTTCCTCATTTTCCTTAATGCATCATTTCCATCTGAATTTTCATTCTCAACGAATACACCCATGTCTTTATAATTCATCCCACTGCGAGTCCTTTTACGGAGACCTCCTGACAAAGGCAATATTGGTGATTTCGAGTCCATAGCTTCCAAAACAGCCTTCTCACAAGCCTCGGGAAGCAACTCATGCCACGATGCTGTTGCATCACATTCTGCCTCAGGAATATCTTCAGATGCTAATTCAGGATTTGATATAAACGTCGCGACAGAAAATGTATTGTTCGTTCGCCTGGAAAAATCATCGAATAGTAAGTCCAGTCAGAGTCAATCTAGAATGATAACCTGGTGCGAAAAAGACATTCAACCATGAGGTAATCGTAGTTGCTAGAGAGGATTTATGGAAAATGCGGAAAATCTAAACAAGCATACTCCTTTCAAGATGATTCACACTAGCCAATCTCTTTGAGAAGAAAGGTTCAGTTTTTATGAGGAATTTGCATTCGGTGGAGTAGTTATACCCTCCTATCTGTCGCTGTTGAGTTCTCTGCTCCAGAATCTGTTCAATATTTTGGGAGCTGAATTCAGATGCTGCTTCTCCATCATCCTGCAAAATTGTGCAGTGAAAACGAAGATGTATAGTGAACGAAGGCTACAATATTCAATCTGTACTTGGCGTGATTCGAACACTTCACAAATGAATAGACAAGTTCTACTGTCAGACCTTGCACACCTGTACATGATATTTTCCAAGGGGTGGCAAGTATATCATACACTTAAGACGAGAAGTATCGTTGTTTAAGTGATTGCATTGTTGCATACCTTAAGTATGTCATATGCTCCGTGCTTAAGGAGGCTTTCAATATTTTTGTTATGATCTTGGGTTACATCAACTCCCATCCGATTACCCAATATAGCCTCATCCAGACCATACTTTCTTGAGGAGCACTCAAACAAACGTTGCTCATATGTGTTCCTTGTGATGAGCCGGTATATTTTTACATCTTTGGTTTGACCAATCCTTTACAATAACGTAAAAAGTTCTAAGATGACGTCGGATACAACTAATAGTTTCTAGTGCCTCAGTCCCTTACTAGTGGACAAAAGTGAATGAACAATCAAATAGAAAGATAATATTGTCATGACGAAGGGTGGATTAAGAATAAGATTGATTAAGCACCTGTGGCAACGAGCCATGGCCTGGAGGTCATTTTGAGGGTTCCAATCAGAATCATATATTATACATGTGTCTGCCTGCATCAAAAGTAATTCAAACACTTTAGACTTCTTACAAAACTTACATACGAAAGTGTATCTTCCTACATGTAAAAAACTTCCAGTTACGAGAAACTTAGCGAACTGCAAGAAACATGTAGTAAATGATGAGAGTTTCTTTTTCTTACAGCTGTAAGAGTGATGCCCAATCCTCCAGCACGAGTGCTTAGAAGAAAGACAAAGATGCTGCTATCTTTCGCCGAGTAACGATCAATAGCTGCCTACGTTTACAAATCAGACCAGGATGGTTAAGCGGAAAAAGAATAACATCAAAGATCCGCGCTTTGAATTGAATTTCACAACCTAGTTAACTGTGGTTAAGTATTGTCACGAGCGAATATTAAGGGGGGAGAAGGGTTTGGTAGGTTGTGACACAAAAATGAAGCCGTCTCATGTTTTTAGAGGAATTTTTCTTCAACTGTGAATGCTAACCTGGCGATCAGAACCACGTATTTTGCCATCGATACGTTCATAGGAATACCCCTTTGATAGAAGATAGTCTTCTAATAGGTCGAGCATCATTGTGAACTGTCAACCACATCATGAGAGATTCGCCTTAACGTGAGAGACTCAGACGTCATATGACACATCTTGAGTCTGCAAGTTACCCTTCATGCTCATATCTAAAGGATTAAATAGTTCAGAGAAGGCTAAGAGACATGGCGTCAGACAGGAACGTAATAATTAACCACGGTAGAACCCAATAGGAACATCCAGTACATACCTGAGAGAAGATGAGTACGCGACGACCTGCTTCCTTCAGTTTAGGCAAGAGTTTGTCGACCAATACCATCTTTCCTGAACTCTGGGAAAGTAGCGTCTCAGCCAAATTTGAAGCATTGCCATCCTGTGGCACATACATACACGTTAACTCGTTAATGCTTTGACACTATTTTCTTTATATAAAGACGATCTGTGATATAGCTTCCACAGAGTAAATTCTCAAAATAATCTAAATTGTTAGATTGCAGGGAATAATTTGAAGTCTTACACCTTGAGGAATTCCACGGTAAAAAGACACTCAAAGAATTGGGATGTTTAGCATACGTTCAATGAGCGATGCTTGAACACAATACTCTCCTCAAGTCCATCGCACAAAAATGGGTGGTTGCACAGCTTTCTTAGCTCCATGGCCTGCAATCAATTGGAGTTGAAAGATAGAGGACTCGAAGACATTTTTGTGATAAACTGTAGAGTGTATGACATCGAAATGAGGTTTTGCTGCTAGACAGCTGCTAGGGATCGTAATAGTACCTCTTCATATGATACAAGCTATAGATAACTCATGCACGAATAAAGTTCTGCCACTAGGAGATGAACTCTACTTGCTGTAAAGAAAATCTATGTTGCACATGATCTTTCTCAATTGGTAAAATCTCCAATGTTGGGACTGCTAACTGTTCGGTGTAGAGACGTAATAAGTTTCATCCTTTAACCTGATGTGGTGCCTTACCACATTTCTAAGACTCGGCATGTTGGTGGCTATCGAACCCTTTAATAACGTCGAAATATTGTTTTCATAGATAGCTCGGTAGAAAGCTCGCTGCTCCTTGGTTAATTCAACCCAAACGATAGTCTGCCAACGCACATGATACCCGATTTTATGCCAGGTTAATATCGAACTTAACATAATCATTTGAAGTACAATTAAAGAAAATGCACGAGAATACATGAAGCCAAGATATCTATGATTGAAAAGTAGTACCACCTCTTCCTTCATAGGAATACTCTTCTCTACATCCTCCTTCATACGCCTTAATAGTCTGGGTCTCAAAATATTATCTTGAAGGTCTTTGATCTATCCAAAAGTATTAATATTATAGATTATCACATTATAGGCTAGCCTTCCCGATACATGATAATATATACAGAAATATAAGCACTAGACTAGATGGGCTTTTGGTAAAAAGAATGCGCAAAAAGATTCACCTGTTCAGCTGCCTTGATGTCGCCATACTTTAGAAGGAAATCCTCCTCTGAGTCAAACTCGTTCCGATCAAGGAGATAGAGGAGGCTACTGCAAAGTTCACAAAATAATATGAAGAAGAGACGTACACAGTGCGTACTTAACATGGTTAATAGCGAAAAGGAATGCCGTAATGTTTACTAAAGTTTGAAGTCCAATTCAAATGTTCTTATCAGCACTGTGTTTTACTTTTCGAGAACAAGGAACTTGCATCCACTGTACTGTAATCTACTTACAATCTAAGTCATCAATGTATAGACAGAGATCAACTTACAATAACTCTTTCGTATTATTCTGAACAGGAGTGCCTGTTAGAAGCAGAAGACCACCGTGTCTCACGCGCAGTTGTCGTAAAGCTTGAGCTGTTTTCGACTCTCGAGATTTCAGCCTGCAGGTTCAGTTAGGGTTCAGAAGCTGATATTTAACAAGCCGATTTTGGTTGGCATGAGCAGAAAATAAATAGTCATAAACTCAAAAAGGATCAGTAAATTGTGCAACCTGTGGGCTTCATCAACGATAATGTATTGCCAAGTCTCCCTTGCAAGCTTGTTCTGGTCCTTCATGAGGATTTCGAAGCTCGTTAACAAGATCTAGAAACCAAAATGAGCTCACCATTAATTAGTCATTACCTCAATCTACGATTCTCCAAGTTGATAGCAATCACCACGTGTTGGAAAACTCAATGCGAGCTTATGAGCTCTCAGAAGCAACGACGGCTAGTTCACAGTATACGGGATACGATGTCCCATGCTTTACAACGCTCTATACATTTCAAGTTAAGAAAAAATTCTTCTGCTTTTAGCGCCTGAATCATTGATCACGACATTCAATTCCGAATCATATTTTTTTATTATTTACAGCAGACTTACATTGAATTTTAATTCGGAGGAATTTCCATCACCATAATAAAATTCATAGTTTCTAATTATCTGCCTGTCTTCTTGATTTCCAGTATACACGACACAATTCATATCCGTCGCGGACTCAACTTCACGTCGCCAGTGGCCAAGCGTTGATACTGGTGCCACAACCAAAAATGGGCCTCGAATTTTTCGTTTTGTACGGAGGTTCTCGAGCATTGCGACAGACTGCACGTGAGGAACAAAGTTTTGCAATTACTCCATAATAATCTAGAATTTATCCATTATAATCACAGAACTAGTATGTTTATGGAGAACTAAACACGGTGAGAACCAGTAATGTGTATCACACCTGAATGGTCTTCCCTAAACCCATCTCATCAGCTAATATGCAATTGGTTCGGTTTTTAAAGTTGTGATCAAGCCATGCAACACCTGCCTCCTGGTAGTCCCTGAGTCTCCTTCCATCCTTGAAAACACCCTACAACACCGCTAAGTATTTCATTAGATAGAGAAACTAAGGAGGTTGAGTAACATTCTCGTGATTCTGAGGGAGATCAAGCTGAACGGAAAAATTGGCAAGGCTGAAGACAGGATATATCCAAAAAAAAGAAGAAAAAGCGAAATAAAGAACAAGATGTAGCGTTCATTTTATTTTGTTGGAAATTGACCAATCGTTTCTCCTATTACTGAAATTCTCAGCACAAAACTGCGTGACTTAAACACAGAGCCCATGCCTGTGACAATATTTCAGCTCGTCGTACGGCAGAAGTCCTCAGGGATATTTTGTGGAATCGGCAAATTGCTGCAACATCTTGACTCAGGTTTTCCTCTCTAACCCATGTTGCCTCCGTGTAGGGAAGGCCACACCACTTCACCAGATAGTATTTCTTGGATCCACGTTGCTCAGATGCAATTATCCTATCTATTTTGGTATAGACAGGGTCAAAGTCGGGAGAGTTCGTATCATCAAGAGTATGACCACTCTTCCTTCCTAAGTGATCCATGCGCTTGTGGAAACTCCTCAGAAGCTGAGGACAGTGTTTCTGCAGGACAGAGCCCTGGACGCTGACCGTTTCCCTATAACTTCGTAGGGTCTCCTTCACACGGAAGACGGCATCAGCGCCTGCATCTCTACTCTTGACCGACAAAATCTTCTCCACCCGACCGATTCGTCGAACTAAGTAAGGTCGATTTTCGTGTTTATTGAAAGGAAGTTCCAGGCTTAGATCATCATTATGACCGAAATTATCACTTCCTTCAAGTTTGTATTCACCATCGTAACTAGAACTAGGGGCTATTCCTTCAATCTTCACCCTTGCTGTTTTGACACTGCTCTCGCATTCCACAAATTGATGATACGCGAGGTCATCTACCATTGCCATTCTACCGCTTCCCAATTTCTGTTTCATGCTAGAAACTTGGCGGATCCTTCGCAACCTCTTAGGACGGCTGGAAGAAACATCAAGTGTCGCGTGGTCCTCCACACCTGCAAAATTTATTAGGGTGGTGAGAACCCAAGCCGGATACGATGAACCCTTTGAAGATATAAGAAAAGGTGGTAACTGTCAAATAATTTCTCTCACAAATTACCATACCGGAAGTGGAAGGATCATCCAAATCTGGCAAACAAGCCTCTACTTTATCGCCAGAATTTAGAGAAAGCTTCTCCTTCTCAGACAGTTCACGACAGTTCATTTCTTCTGCTGTGTGCTCATCTTGATAAGAACCGTTCGCCACATTAACAGTGCTAAGTTCCTCCTGGAACTTGTCCAAGGATGCGCTGGTAGGACTTTCTTTTCCATTGAGCTGAATTTCGTGCAACGGAAGGTGACGACTTTCTTCGTTACATGAGACATCATGTTGACCAACTGTGGGGGCAGATCTTGGAGCCGCTGGTCGTATACCATTGTCATTACTGCAAAAAGGCAAAGGAAATAATTCCTCGTCAGTCTCTCGCAACACTCATACAATATGCCGTCGACCTGATTTGTGCAAATTGGGACCCGTTCGTTGGATTTGACTAGCACGCGTGCACTCAGATTCCCACGCTCGAATGATCTATAAAAGCCAAATAAATTAAGCGCTTGTAGCCAACACTAGGGAAGCACCATGTGCTTTGAAGTTTTCACCAATACTGTGGAATGCAGTGATGGTCATGCAAGCGGTCCGTACATTACCGCATGTGATGTGCAGGATCACAAAAGTGACCTTCCTTCAAACCCAAACAACTTGAAGGACGCTCCCAGTTTCGGACTTTTTCAAGTTCCTCTAATTTTCTCTTTCTTTTCTCTTCTTGAAATGAGGGTAGAGCCATCCTAATAAAACCATTGAAGCCACTCCTGTGCAATGAAACTTGCAAATAAGTCATACAAACTCACTCAGAAACTAAGAAAAACAATTCAAGCTAGAATTTGCCCAAGCAGTCAAATTGAACCGCGATTCTAATAATCTGTTAGACATGCAAACGATTAGATACACAAAATGTGATTCTAGAAAACTGTGGTTTCCATCAAACAGCGATCGAAATCATCTCTTTCCTACCTGGACAATTCACTACATTCTATGCGACAAAAATGATAAAGTTCTCAGTTCATTAGTGTCTCCATCAATTGTACAATTTGTATTAACTTTAGAAAAGGAAGAGGATCTGTAATAAATGCCACAATGAATTCCTTATTCTACACGAAAGAACTCACATTGAATTGGAATTTTCTTCTGATAACAGGGCTACATCACTTAAACCTGCTCCTCTTACAAGCACATCGACACGTTCCGAGGTAGTCATCCCTGCTAGCTTGCTGGTTTTCACAAAAGTGTCACCTCCATCTTGATTTGAGTTTTGCCCCCTGCGTCCACCAAGGACGCTACGAAGATGAAAGCTCCCCCAACTGCGAGCCAGGGCAGTTTCAACATCTCCCTCTGATGAAGCTTCAATGTCTGTCTTGGATTTTCCATGAGCAGCTACGTTTCCCATTAAGAAATTGTTCGTGTCGCTGCTATCGGGGTCTTCAGTTTCTGAAAGCAACTTCGAGAAGAGGGCATGATCATCAGAGTAGTTCACCGGCTTTCGTTTCCGTAGCTGCATTGGAATCATAAATCGCTTGAAGCAGAAGTTTGGCAGATCAAAAACCCTGGATGATTTGCTCACGCATTAGTTTCATTGCTTCCGCAACTTCCAGCCTTGGCCTACGGTGCAAGAATTGCAGTTAGTCAAGCAATATACCCTTAATGCGCATAGAAAACGACAATGACAGCATTAAATTAGGACTCAATAAACTGAGGTTCATTCGCACCCTGATATCTAGGGGATTAACTATTTCAACAGCAATTTTACGCATGTCCATTGGATGAAGGCATGAGAGCAGAGTACCAAGTAAGAAAGAGCTGAATTGCAGCATGGATGAGACTTACAAATCATACAAAATGCATGACCATTTGTGCGTTTTGGATGCTTGTGAAGGCAAACTTATGAAAATTAAGGGTAATTGAGGATAACCACATATTGGACCCACGAACTAGAGAAAAACAAGATTCTACTGTTGTCGAAACAAAATTAAGTGCACTCCGTCCCCAACTAAAATCATTCGTTTTCTGTAATAGAGAAGACAACGATTTCTAATACGATTCGTTGCAAAATAAAAGCTAACATGAGGGACAAAGGCAAACCTGAAGGTTATCTGTTGCTGAATATTTGCAACGTCCATACACCTCCCTAGGCTGCTTTTAAGCGGAGTCTCGTGTGGAAATCATCAGCGCGTAAGCTGCTGCATTCTTGTACTGGCATGGCCTGTTTCAAGGGAACAATTTCAGTGTCAATCTTGCACATGGAATGTATGCTTGAAGTGTACAGAACCTCACTATAGAACTGCACAATAGTCACTTCACTAGAATACAATGGTCGCAGTGAGACATTCTACATCCGCTGGTCACGCGGCAGGTTGTCCAAACAGAATGTAATGAAGCAGAAAAGAGAAGACGAACCTCCATACGACTTCTATAACACAGCCGAGGATCCATCAAGAAAAAGAAAGTCGGAAGATCATGATTTAATAACCTTAACGACAAACTGGTGGTTGTGCTCATCATTTTGAAGACGAGAAAAACACTTCGCATTTAATGACAAGTATCCCAAACACTTGAAAAGGGATAAAGAATAGCGGAAACAAGGTCTTTTCAAACACCTATTCCCTCAGATGCAGTGTTAACTACAATAAGCTTTTTGTAAGAGTAAAGGTTTGGATCCAAATCTGCTTAGAAAATCCGAAAGTCAAAGGCATCACATGTAATTAGTGGCAAAAAGCTGCAATTAGGGGTGAAGAGGGAATACGCTTTTTCGCTGAAACTCATACTGAGAGATTGATATAAACAAGATAGTAAGGAATCAAATAGCTGGTCCATACTGAGCGGAAAGTTTTTTACACAGAATATTGTGGAAAGGGAAAAGTGCAGGGCCCAAGATCTGAAAACTGAGCATGGTTTAACCATGTCCAGCAAGCGCCACGAAAGCCGAGTGCATTTGTATAATATAAAGCAACATAATTACAGAATTGTAACAAGAATTGGTCGATTCCTCACTCACTTCAAGTGAACTACTCTGAGACCAACAAACTGTACACTAGCAACTCACATTTATAGCAGTAAGATGTCTTCCAAAACGAGCCGACATACATCCTACGATGCAGTCTAGTAACAAATGACGGAACAACATCGAGCCTTCAACTGCTATAGGTTCCATCAACACCTCTGCAGTTGACAAACCTAGAATTCTCCCGTCAAGAATTACCACACAAAATTGAACCAGGCTCGAAATACATGAAGAGAACAAAATTCCGTTAATCCACTCAAAAACTCAGAGGACAACTAGGTGTACGACTCATGCTCAGCGCACAACAGTTTCCAAACCGAAATACATACAGCCATTGCTCCCGACGCCATACTACAAAACACGTTTCCGTCAGAAGGAATGCATGCATGTCGCTAACATTGAATCGCGACTACTCAGATGAAGCGATTCAATTTCCATCTAGGATAACCAAAATGACTTCGACGCGTGAACTATGAGGGGCATGCGGCCATACGTCACTCTCCTGATCCCACGAAAACTTCGAACAAACACACAGCACCATCAATCGAAGCTGTTGAGATGAAATGCTGCTGCTGCTAAAGAGGAGGAGGAGGAGGCACCATCGGTGCGATCGGGATGGTTGGAGCGGAAACAGCGACGGGGTGTCGTGGTTGCCGCAACGTTCAATCTGTTTGCTCTCTATCGATGGCTGCTTCCAAACCCTGCCATGCCATGCCTCTCCATTTCGTTGGCTTCCATTCCCTTTGCTCTATTGGGAAGAGGACTTCCAAGCCCTCTCTCAAAACGGCACACCGCATCTCTAGCAGATGGATGATAACCTGATGCCACTTCATCCCTCGAGTCCAATTCCGTTCGTTCTCATGAATGGATGACGTTCGGTTCGTGGCTCCTCATGAATGGATGACGTTCGGTTCGTGGCTCCTCATGAATGGATGACGTTCGGTTCGTGGCTCCTCATGAATGGATGACGTTCGGTTCGTGGCTCCTCATGAATGGATGACGTTCGGTTCGTGGCTCCTCATGAATGGATGACGTTCGGTTCGTGGCTCCTCATGAATGGATGACGTTCGGTTCGTGGCTCCTCATGAATGGATGACGTTCGGTCACGTGGTCGTTCATTCATCGTTTCTGACCCTCTTCATAACGTTTTCTTGCTTGGGTGTTTGTATAGCTAATGCTTGTAGAATTTGACTTGTGGATGAAAAAAAATTAATGTCTAATTTATGTGAAGCTGAATAAATTACATTTTTATTATCTTATTTAGTTAAACTTTAAATGTGTTTATGTGTACTCAAGTCGATTTTATATCAAAAACAATTTTCAATTTGAAGATGCATCTTTGGCTCATGAGATGTTAATGTTGCTACATGTTCCTGACATAAATACAAGCATTGATGTTATGGTCTCCTCCTAACTACTGTAATGAATCAAAAAATTTAATCACAATGCAAAAGATATAGCCAAGAATCACTCAAATATATTATATTGATATCATATGGAATTAAAAACACCTTATTAAATTATAAAATAAAAATGTACATATATAATTGCAATAAAAATTTAAAATAAAAAATTCTTATAAAAAAATAAAAATATGTGCTATTAAAATCTAAATTTGAAAACTATTTAGTTAAATCATTCAATAAAAAAATCTCATTATAGGTTCATTTTAAGATATATATGAATATATAATTATATATAATTATTTTTAAATATAAAATTTTGATATGATTTATTTTTAATTCAATCTAAGTTTACTTTTAAATCAAAATAAAAAAACCCTAATTCTAGGATATGTACATATGCTATTGTGAACAAAACCATATTATTTAAAAATATTCTAATAAATTATGAAAAATGATAAAACAACCCAAATTTTTTACTAAAGCAATCTAGTCTATCTTAACTATCATTGCACCTTTATATCATCCATCTTTATTCTAATTAGTTTCCCATTTCCAACCATTGTTAATGGCAAGGGCAAGGAACTGGGAACATTAAGAATATGGGCAATAATTTGAAATAGAAGAATGGTTGGGAAAGGAGACATGGTTGAAAATGTACAATGATTGTTTAAATATGTGAGTTGATTTAATAAAAATCACTTAATTGGAAGAATTTTGTAAGAAATCCTAAATCTTAATTAAATTAATGATTTAAATTAGTTCAAGAAAGAATTAAAAGATACTACCTTAATTTCTAAAGATATCTTGAATACTTTTTTTAATATAATTATAAAAGTTAACAAAACTTTTTTTATATAGATAATGTATTATATCATATTTTATCTATCTAATAAGTTGATTCAATGTTTTATATAGAAAGGTCTCAATAGTGAATAATTTATAAGTTGGATATTGATATAAGTTAGGACATGTTGAACAATTCATGAGAGTGTCTAGTCCTTGTAAAGATGTCCTTAGATCATATTTCAAATCATATTATTTTTTTATTGATAAAATAAATTATTTATATAATATTAAATTATCATAAATATAAACATTTTGGTGGTACAAAAAAATTATTTTTTAGATGTATTTATCTTATTATAGTAAAATTTGATTTGGCTAGATCTTATTTTATTCAAATAAAGTCCATGGTTTAGGCACCTTGTTTTGAAGGTCAAGCAAAAAAATTTATGTATTAGTTCCCTCTTCCTCAAAAGTAGGCTTCAATAATAACACTTGACACAACCTTCAAGCCATCTAAATAAGTGTGTCACACTCATTATTATCTTCTACAAGCTCATTCATCATGACTTCTATAGTAAGTTCAATGGATATTGATTCCAATATACTAACATCACTAGTATCTCTTGTTCTCCAAACAAACATAGAGTTTATTCAATCAAATTCTATTAAATTTTTTGAAGCTAATTTTTTTTAAAAAAATCAAGTGTTCTTAAATTAGTATGAATCATTATATACGACTTGTAATCTTAATTCTTTAAAAAACAAGATAAAATGGATTGCACAATGTTTCACCAAAATTGCAAGCAACTAGTTCCATTACCTAGACTTTATAGTCTAAAATAATTAAGAGCACTTGATATGAGTAGCAAAAATACACTTTATTATGCCTTAAGAGCAAGAATACATCATTAAATAATTAGAAGAAATAAAACAAGGAAACAAAAATAAGTCTAAGTAGTCTTTTTCCATTTCTAAGCATTTTTAGCATGTTTCAATTCACAATTGTCCAATACCTTAGTCTTGTGCTGATTTTCACAAGCTTCTCAAAATAAAGTTGTAAAATAGCTTACACTTTCAAAGGTCAAAAGCATGGACCAAGTCCTAAAAGAATTGACTTTATAAGAGAAAAAAAATGGAGAAATTCCTTAAATAAATCCATTTCCTTCATTTGTATTATCTTTCACTCTCAAGTACATTATATCTTAATCTTTGTTATAACATTCTATTCCATCCAAGATTTATTTAAGATTCTTTTGCATTCAAATCTTCATTAGGTCTATTTTTGCTTCTATAAGTTATAACTATAAAAAAAATCTAATATTATAGAAAAATGTCTTTGCCAAATGATTCAAAAGATTGAAAATATGTTCTTAAAAATTAAATAGATTTATATTACTAGCCAACTAGTCCCAACATAATTTGAAAAAATCTTATAGCCAAACATATTTTGTTCAATTTGTAAAGGTGTTAGCCATATCAATCTTTAGTGACCAAATCCAAAGTTCACTAAATATTATACATGGTGCAATTATTATAGATACACTCACAACATTTTTCATAAACACTCATAATACATTTGAAACAATAAGCCTACATCTACCTTATCTAAAAACACTCATTATTGAAATTCAACCAATATTTCTAAGATCTGCAAAAATATTACTAAAGGTAATTATATGTACCACTTAAGCTGTAGAATTATATATGTAAAGAAAATCACAATATTTTTTGATGTCCATATAAGCCATTACATAGCTTTTTTTTTATTTTGGCATTTAAAAGCCATTCAATTATTAATAATAAATTTAATTTATTTTTCAAACTACAATAGCGTCTACCTCCTTACTATTACTTAATAATGAGGACATATACTTTATTTTGCAAAAATTTCCAAGCCACATAATCTTTATCAATATTGAATTTCTATTAGGTAAGGTAAAATCACTAATTGACAAAAATCTTTTGTTATATTTAACTACACAAAACAAGTCTCAAAGCCAATCTTTATTGACAACACTACTTTAAAGCAATGCAAATCAAAATTACAAGCACCATATCCTATTAATGCCTCTTTAAGGCCATGAAGATTCCACTAGCAACTGACCTATATCAACACCCTCATACAATGGTGACCAAAACTATCACAACTTTTCTAACAACTAAGAAAAAGAAGCCAATTGTAGTTTAAACTCTAATTTTTCTAAAACACATTTCATTCCCACCTTATTAATTAACATCAACACCTTCAATAGGCATGCTACAACTAATATGCTTACAATATACAATATTGTGCATAATATTCCATTTATTCAACCAACTATATCTCTAAAATAATCACTTCTTACATCACCATCTGTAATATTATGTGACATGGCATTAAGTACTAATTCCTATTAATTATATATAATTTAGTTTAATTAGTGATTTTTCATCTATTGATAGTTTTTTCGTTAATTGACTTTGTTCATATCAAATAAAATTTGAATAACTAGGTAGAAAAAAAATCCTTGAATTAACATTCTTATCAAATCAAGTCTTATGAGTGATTTTTGAGAGAGAGAATTTCCTAGAAAGGTTTGTTGGATTATAATAATTTAGTCATTTAATAAAGTTCGAAGGTTTTTTTAATTTTTATACTTATATTTTTAGATTTTTCTTTTGTAATATGAAAGATAGCTTGACTTAATTTGGTATAGATATATAATTTTTTACTTAACAAGAATCTCTCTTTCTCTTTAATTTGTAGTGTAGCAGATTAAAATAGAATAGATTCAAAAAAAGAAAAGAAAAGAAAAACTCTTTTTTTCATTATTTTTTGAATATTATTTTTTTATTTTTTTCCCTACTATATTATAATATTATTAAAATATATTTTTTCTTTAGTATATTATGTACCAATATATGAAGATCATGGAGCTAAAATGCATGGTTGCAAAGTGCTACACAAGAGGGCTACAGGAGAGGCATAGTCACAACAAAGTTACAATTTGCATAGGAAGCAAATTGCACAAGTGTAAGTTGTAGAGTGCTTGTAAAACTAGAGTTGTAGTGGTGCAATACTAAATAAGTTACTATCTGAATTAAGATTGCAAAAGGCAATACAGGTAGCATAGTATTGGATTGTGAGAACAACATAGTATTATAGCTCTGAACAATGACATATCACTATGGTAGGGCAAAATTTGGTCAAAATAAAGGTGCAATGTAGCAAAGTAGGCATAAAGATGGAGCTACAAGCTTGTGTAGATTGAGTGTGTAGCTCTAGGATGCTCATCAAGCTTTATGTAATACAAGTAAATATTATAATTTTATATTTTTGAATCTTTTATGTCAATTATTAATTACTATAGTGCTTGAAATTGGTGTGTTGATTCAAGTGATACAAGTGCAATATGTATTATTGCATAAGAGCTGCGATAAAGAAGCATCTTTGTCTTATGTTATATTTGATATGGTATATAAGTTATGCTATGGCTATATCCAAAATTGTATTAAAAAATAAGATAAAATAAAATAAATAAATATGCAATGATAAGCAGCAATCCATGGCATTTTTAGCAACTCAAGATGTCAATCTATGATTACAAATTCTATTGTTATAGAAGAATCATAGTAGTAAGCTATGTACGACAATACAACTATCGACAATCATAAACTCACATGGTCATAGA